AACCCAGAAATGAACCTACAGACCTATAGCCATCTAATCTTCGATAAGGGAGCTAAAACAATAGAATGGAAGACAGACAGCCTCTTCAGTAAATGGTGCTGGCAAAACTGGTTAACTACATGTAGAAAACTAAAGCTAGATCCTTATATATCACCCTGCACCAGAATCAACTCCAAATGGATCAAAGACCTTGAACTCAAAGCAGACACTCTGAAAACATTACAGGATGGAATAGGAGAAACCCTGGGTCTCCTTGGCTCAGGCCGAAATTTTCTGAATAGAGACCCGGAAACACAACAAATCAAAGAAAGGCTGGACAAATGGGATTGTATAAGGTTGCAGAGCTTCTGCAGGGCAAATGACATAGCTAGCAAGATCAATAGAAAGCCCACGGACTGGGAGAAGATCTTTACTAGCCATACAACGGACAAGGGTCTCATATCTAAAATATACTTGGAACTCAAAAAATTAAACCACCCAACAACAAATCCTCAAAGAAACAACTGCCCAATAAGTAAGTGGGCGAAAGACTTAAAGAGAAGCTTCTCTGAAGAAGAAAGAAGGATGGCCAATAGACACATGAAGAAATGTTCAACATCCCTAGCCATAAAAGAAATGCAAATCAAAACAACATTGAGATATCACCTCACTCCAGTTAGAACAGCAAAAATCAAGAACTCTAACAACAACAGATGCTGGAGGGGATGTGGACAGAAAGGAACCTTACTTCATTGTTGGTGGGAATGTAAACTTGTTCAACCACTTTGGAAAGCAGTATGGAGGTTCCTCAAAAGACTCCACATAGAGCTCCCCAATGACCCAGCAATCCCACTTTTGGGCATTTACCCAGATGATCACAAACAAGGCCACACTAAAGCTACCTGCACAACTATGTTTATTGCAGCATTATTTACCATAGCTAAGACATGGAACCAACCCAGATGCCCCTCAGTAGATGAATGGATCAAGAAGATGTGGTATATATACACAATGGAATTCTATGCCTCCATCAGAAAGCATGACATTGCCCCATTTGTTAGGAAATGGAAAGGCTTGGAAAAAATTATATTAAGTGAAGTAAGCCAGGCCCAAAGAAACATAGGTCCCATGGTTTCCCTTATTTGCAATATCTAGTATAGGTATGAGTCAAGCGGAAAAAGTCAGATAATGTGATGTTAGGAAAATGAACCCTTTAATATGTATTTTAATGTTTTTGTTTCTTTCATGCATGTATTTCTAACGCATTTATAAGATTATTTCTTTGTTGCTTTGTATGTCCCTCCCCCACAGTGTAACCCCCGCTTTCACTATATTTGATGTTAGTATAACATGTGGAGGAGATGGGGACAAACAAGTCGTTTAAGGATTCAGGTGGACCTGTTGCAACAATGAGAAGTACAAAATGTCATGTCAAAACCAGCTTTACAATGTCGGTGGGGGGGGGGGTGGGGGGGTATGATTGGGTGGGAGGGAGGGGGGAGGCTGGGAAGGGAGGTGAAGGGTAAACAAAGGAGGAGGCTGCAATGCTTGGTAAGAAATGTATGCATTATCCTGCCCATGTAATTGTAACCCCTCTGTACAGTATGTTCTCAAATAAAATAAAATAAAATTAAAAAAAAAAAAAAAAAGAAATGTATGCATTATCCTGCCCATGTAATTGTAACCCCTCTGTACAGTATGTTCTCAAATAAAATAAAATAAAATTTAAAAAAAAAAAAAAAGAATACATTCTGCTCCACACACCACTTCCAAATACCACAATTACAATCCTTCTGTTCTGTGACTGTGGCTGTGCCACAACTCCCACCACAGAAAGGTTACACAAGCAGATGGGAAAACCTTTTCAAATTCACACTGAAATATTTATGACTGAGGAGGGAAAAACTAGGCTAGTGGTTTAAAAAATGCAGGTAAATTTGTTCAAAGTGGACTCGCTTCACGTATGGAAATGTCTAAAGAAAACCGCTATGCTATAAATATAGGCTAATTCAAAAATAAAATGATAATAAACATAGAAATGAAAATGTGTAACTCCTAGCAACTCAAGAGATCTGAGGATCAAGGTTGGAAGGCAGCCTGAGTGGAAAAACAAGTGAGATTCTTGTCTCAGATTCACCAGCAAAAATCCAGCAGTGGAGGTGTGGCTTAAGTGAGTGAGCACCAGCATTCAGAAAAAAAGCCAAGCCAGAGAACAGGCCCTGAGCTCAAGCCCCAGTACTGGCACAGGGAAGAAGGGAGGGAGGAAATATACATCATATAAGCATATAAGTGCCCATTTCTAATGTGGTAAAAGCTTCCGGTACTTCTGTGATTCTGGGGTGAACCACACAGGACTGTCCACAGGAAGGTATCACGTGGCAGGGGCCATCAGATGTCAGCCTGCACTCCTGGAGCCTCGGGGGATTTCGGAGTAGATTGAGCTGTTGCTTCACCTGTTGGGCTTGATGTGGGCTCCTGCTGCTGCTGTGGTGGAGACTCCTCGCCCAGTGCTCAGGGCCAGGAGCTGCTGTCAGCATCCATGTGACACCGAGGGCCCGTCAGCACCCACGTGACACCTGAAGGCTGCCGTCAGCATCCATGTGACACCCGAGGTCTGCCGTCAACACCCAGGTGACACCCTAGGGCCCGTCAGCACCCAGGTAACACCCTTCAAGCCCACCCTGCATCAGTTCAAGAGACAATCAGAAAAGCCTCACATAAGAAGTGGAGCTGTGGCTCAAGTGGTAGAGAACCTAGTGAGCCAAAAGCCAAGCAAAAGCACAAATTCCTGAGTTTAAACCTCTGTATTGGCACAAAACGAAAAGGAGGAACAAAGAAGAGAGAAACATGGGCCAGGAATTATGTCTGGGGTATCTGAAAGAAAAGCTCTGTTCATTTAGAATAATTCATGGTATTAGGAATATTAATGCAGAATATTGTTGCAGTTGGAAAAAACTATATAACCTGTTATTGCTCAAGTTTCTTTTATCTTTTAATGTGACACTTGGAAGATTCTAATGCTGATGTTCTTGGCAGAGGTTTGTGAGGAAGGAACAGTCAGGCTTAGCAGTTGTAAACTTTCGATGTGTGCATGTGTGTAGGCGTGCGCATGTTGGCCCTGGTAGTAGGGCTCGACCTCAGGACTTGGGCACTATCCTAAGCCTTTATCCTCAAGGCTGGCACTTTACCTGTTGAGCCACAGCTTCACTTCTGTTTTGTTATTTGAGGGGCGGGGGGAGGCTGAGGGGTTTGTTGGTTAATTGGAGATAAGAATCTCTTAGTTTTCTACCTGGGCTGGCTTCAAACCTCGATCCTCAGAGCTCAGCCTCCTGAGTAGCTAGGATTACAGATGTGAGCCACTGGCATCCGGTTCATACTTTAGGTTTTTATAAAGGGTAAACTTCTCCCTTCACTAAAAGACAGAGTTGTTCCATGTATTTTGCTTGGTTTTCATAATAGCTTCATCTTAGAATACACTTGTAGGCCTAGTGTTGGTGTCTTGACCTTCCTGACACAGTATGGGAAGCTTCTCCCATCCAGCCAATGAGGCACTGGGTGGTGTGGGCTCAAACGCTCAGGCTACTCTTGGCGATGCTCACATCATAATAAAGCTCTCAAACAAGCTAGATAACACAAAATGACAGAGGAGACCATTCTCCCAACATCACTGCTGTGGCGCCGTGTCCGTCTATATTTCAGGCAGTACTTGTCCCCAGAGTAAATGCTGAAATGACTCATAAACCTTGTAAACAGTGCATCAGAGCTTGGAGCATTCACAACAATTTTCACACCAATTGGAAAGTAAGTGTTTTATCCCCAAACAACCTAAGTCTGCAGTTTGCCAGCCTTCTGTCCAGCCCCGTGAGAGGGGGCCGGCCTCTCCCGTGAGGCATGCCTGTGGCATCCCATCACCAACAGCGAACCTCACACACCAGCCAAGGAACGCTGGGGACGGCAGTGCCCACCATGCCCGATAGATACCTTTTATTTTCATGTTTGATGAGCATAACACTTCAACAAAAATCATTTTAAGCCAAGTACTGGTGGCTCACAACTGTAATCCCAGCTCAGGAGGCTGAGGTCTGAGGGTGGCAGTTCAAAGCCAGGCCAGGCAAAAGATCACTGAGACTCTTATCTCCAATTAATGAGCAAAAAGCTGGAAGTGGAGGTGTGACTCAAGAGGTAGAACAGCAGCCTTAGGTGAAAAAGGTAAGGGACAGTGTCCAGTCCCTGAGGTTAAGCCTTAGTACTGACCTAAAAGAGCTAACCTTTATCATATTAATTATAGATAATTATGAACTTATAGCATTTATTATAGGAACCAAGTATTTATTAATCTTCAACCTTTTCTATCTAAAATAAAGTTAGTTGACAGGAGGAATGGGTATACACAATTTATGGAGATCTGGGTCAAGGAAGAGGTAAGAAGTATTGTGTCCTGTTTATGGCTAGTGCTTTGAAAATATGTGCCATGTCTTCTCAGTCAGTCTACATAGCTTCTCTTGGTCTACTCTCCCTGACTCTTGGGAGCTCTGGCTATAGTTTTCCTTACACAAACTTGGTGAGCTCAGTCTGTCATTTCTCAGAGTCCAAGAGATTCCCCCATCCCCACCGTAAGCCTTATAGCTTCGCTTCCATTTTCAGTGTTGAGCAATTGTTAGTGGAGAAAGCAAGGAAGATCAAAATATTAAAAATATTATCAAAATATTAAAGACCGAAGATCAATATCTTACAGACCAAAAGATTAAATTATAAAGACCAGAAGAATAAACTTTTAGGAGTTTCTGCTAACTACCAAAGATATACTCTTCAACCATCTCTCACTTCTCTAAGGTGTTCTGTCACTTACGGGGATCCAAAAGATGGAGTGAGGGGAGATGTGTGGTGAAAGGGCTGGGGCCTGGGAGGAGGATGGAAGGAGGATCTCGACCAGAATACACTGTACTCACGAGCTCATGCGTGGGGTCGGAACCCCTTTGTTCAACTATTTTAATAAAAAATGAAATAAAAAGAATTCTTACCTCTCTCCGAAGAATGCAGTGTACCATGACTATAACAAAGCCTTGCAAAGAATCAAACACAGCAAAGAGAATCTGAAACAGGATGGAGCGCTTGTCTGTCATGGCCAGAACAGCAGACATCCAGGTCAGAGCTAGCAGGGGCAGCACCACGCAGGAGCTCCACAGCGAGGCCCTGAGGAGAGACGTGAGCCCCCGGTCACGCAAATGTCCCCACCGCCCAGGCCACCACCTACTCTCCTCTCTAACAAAGCATTCTGGGAGGCGGTTCCAAGACTACTTCCTTGGAAACCGGCACCCAGATAACAAGTCCGCACTTCACCTGTTCTTGCTTTTATGGACTATCCCACAAAAGTTACACAGGCCACAGGCAGGGGTAAATCTTTAAACATTAGCAAATGCAATGCTTTTTAAAAATCATCATAGCAGCATTTTCTCACATGCACTGTAAAGATTTGCAACAAGAAGATGTGAACGAGAGACTGACATGGCGTTGCTGGCGGTGGTGGCCGACAGGGCTGTTGTCGAAACGACTCCACACTTGGCGCACCTGAGCGTCAAACCGCTGTGAGGCTCGCTCATCTGACTGCAAGCAAACACAACACCCACAGAAAGAACAAAGTATTGAATGGTGACCGGAAAAACTTGCCGCTACAAGTTAGCTTTTCAATATGACTTCATGCACAAAATCTATCATCAGAGATGATTGTTCTAGATGGTTTTCAAGACGCATCAATGTTCACCTCTTACTGATCTGGACATTTATTGCATGTGAGGCAATTTTCTATCACTTACATCATAAATGATCCTATGTCTGTAGATGAAAATTATGCAATCAAGGCATGTGTAGATATACAGAGAAAACCCTCCATTCACACCTGTGCCATATTACATGTGGAGGACTTCCCATGGCAGTCAAAATCTTCCAAAAGGCATTTACTGTAGAAGTCCATCCTGGTAAGTATACATTATATACACAGTTATCTATGCCTAGTGTCTAGTGTCTCTCTCATCTATATCCTATTGGCTGGCTGGCTGGCTGACTATCATGTCTAGGGCAATTTCAATTGTGGAAGATGCAGATTTTTATCTTGACAGATTCATATTTCTTTTAGCATCAATTGCTATACATATTTTGGGATGATCTGCATATAGAGACAAATGAAACTTGATGATATATTGATAATATGAAAGGTGAGAATTTTCTGTTTTCAAGAGTACACTTAACACACTGATTAAGTTCAAAATATTCTTGCAGAACATGTGTTATAGCCTTTAACCTTATAGCATTTGAATAATCTCTTCTGAGCTTGATGTTTGTATGTAAATTCATATCCACACAATTTTGATGTCAGTCACTACAGCTTAGAAGCAAAATCATGCTACACAGAAATACTTGGTGTTTGCTTGAGGGGAGGAATCCCTTGAAAAATGATGTGTTTATTGGAATATAAACCTATTAGGAAAATCAAAAAGAAATTACATAAATCAAAGTTCAACACTACAATAATTCACTGTGATGTATTTCTCTGGTTCACTTTCATGCAGTCTTTACCCTGAGGATTTTAAGTCTTTTATAGTGGAGTTAGCTGCCTTGGTATGTCTATATCTCTCATCTTTATACTTCACCTCTATCTGTATCATCGTTATAATCTGTATATCATCTATACCATCTAGTCTATATCTACCTACTTATGTACAGACAGGACAGAAAAAGTTAAAATTTGGAATGACTGGTTTCTTTTAAATGTTTGTGAATTGTTTTTAGTGAAGTAATATATCTGAAGAGTATGGGACTGACAGCTGATCTCATAATAAGAAAGCTTGAGTTGCTGGGAGGGGACCTCGTCCAGGGCATACACAATGCTACATGCACCCAAACATGTCCAGTAACATGTCTGTGCAGCTCTGTGTGCACACGGCCCAAGGGGCATGCCCATTCCCTCTCCCAGAGGAACCTAGACTAGCACCCAGGGGCTGTAGACAGTTGCCCATCTGGTCCCATCCCTGTTGGCTGAGGCAAGGCACCCAGGCCCTGCACTTCTCAGAGCTGCCTGGAGGAGTCTAAGGATCAAGCAGAAATAAGCACCAAGCTCCAACTGTGCATTTAATTTCCTTTGTTCTCAAATGTAATCAACTTAGTATTAAAAAGGTATATCTCCATTGTCACTGTGTTCCTCAGCCCAGAAGATGGGATGTTTGATGTGTGTGGCTGAACATGAATGTAGTGATTTTTCAACGTAAGGATATTTTGCCTCTGGGCTCTGAAATAAAATGGCAGCCAGGCCTGGTGCCAGGAGCTCATGCCTATAATCCCAGTTATTCAGGAGGCTGAGATCTGAGGACAGTTTGAAGCTAGCAGGACATGAAAGTCCATGAGACCTTTATCTTCAATTAACCACGAAAAAGCTGGAAGTAGACCTGTGGCTCAAGTGTTAGAGAACCAACCCTGAGTACAACTGCTGAGCGACAGCACCCAGGCCTTGAGTTCAAGCCCCAGGACCAGGAAAGAAAAAAAAAAAAAAAAAGATTGTAGCCAGACCCTGGGGACTTGCACCTGCAATTTTAAGCCAGAAGAGTTCTGAGGCCTGCAGTTAAACAGCCAGGAACCAGAACGGGAGGCGTGGCTCAAGTGTTAGCGCTCCTGTGCTTTTGAAAAAGACCAGTGAGAGTTTGAGGCTCTGAGTTTGATCTCAGCACTAACAAAAAAAGAAAAAAAAACTAGTAATGATAATGCAGCATACTTTGTTTCCTTTAATTTCTTCCAGCTGCCATATTATTTTGTTACATTGTTATTTTCAATAAATCCCCCCTTCATAATGCATTAGGAAAAAATCTAATATTGTTTTGGTATTAGAAAACTTGTCAAGCTATAGTAGTAAGCATTGAAGCCTTCTTAATAAATGTTTAATTAGCTTCAAACATTTCGAGCTTCTTACAATTTGCTCTTCAATCACACTTTGAAATGGGTAACAGTTCAATACTTATTTATGGATACTAATACTGTACATTTACAGGTGCTTTGTAGAGCCTAGTCTTCCTGACCTGGCTACCAGCACTGTGACGGCACACTCTGCCTTCACCGGTGCGTTGGCAGCATGTCCACTCTGGGGCTTGGAGCCAGGGCACACTCGGTTTTCCCAGTGAACTTTAGAGGACTTCTAGGAATATTTTTAGAATGACAAGTTTAAAAAATTCTAATTGCCTTCAGTTGTATGGAGATGGAGGTGGACAGATTCTGCAGTAGGACAGTGATGGCATGCATCTGAGCTTCTGCTTGCTTACAAAGAGCCCCGTGAACTGCCTAGGAGCGTCTAAGCGAGAGGAGATTCAGGCACTCCGGCGGCCTGGGTGCTGTGGTCCCCCGGTGCTCGCTCTTCTTCCCTGCCCCTCACTGCCTGGGCCCTGTGCTTGCAGAGAGTCTGGGTTTTGTCATGAGGCCTCTGGCTTGAGTTTATAGCTTTGTACTGGTAAGGCAGGTCCTCCACCACTGGAGCCATGCCTCCAGCCCTCTTGTGCTTTAGCTATTTTCCAGGTGGGGCCAGCCTTGCAATGCAGTCTGGCTACTTCCACTCCCTCACAGCTAAGATCCCAGGTGTATGCTGTCGTGACTACCTGTTGGTGAGAGAGGGTCTTGCTTAGCTTTGGCCTGGGCTGTCCACAGGCCAAAGGGGCTAGCAAAGGGGCTGCATGGTTGGGCTGCCATTCTTGCCCAGTCTGGGACCTGGAGCCTGGACTGCCGACCTTGGCCCCCCTGTGTAGAACAGACACTGCTGGCAAGCACAGCAATCCACCCTTCATGTGCCACACTCATTACAAGTCTAAGGCTGAGGGGGAGCTGGCCGAGCAACACGCTCCAACACACTCCACCGCTGCTAAGCCCTCAGCCCTGTATTGAGCATGCTCTGGGGACACTGCAGTGTGGTCCTGTTTGCTATACACAGGAAGTTTACCCCACTGGTTGCAGAGCCGGGCACCTGCTCCCATGCCTGCTACATTCCTGCCCCATCAATGTGATGTCAGTAGCTGGGAGGATTTGCTCTCCAACCTATGACCTTGCAGAAGTTCTGGGTATCAGACATTGGGTACTGGATCCCAAATGTCTATGCAGCTGACAGGAGCGGTTGTGAGCACACAGCTCGTGGCAAACCCCTTCCAGCTATTGCGTTGCCTAGCAACGGTGATGCAGCCAGTCTCTGCCTCACTGCTCAGCTAGCTGTAGTCACTCAAGGTTCAGGTCTGCTATGTGAGGGTGCCAGGGAACTAAGCTGTGGCAAACATGGAGTAATAGTTAGACTGCAAATATGACTGTTCTTTGAAAGAAAGGATGTCCAGGAACTGTACAGCTCTACTGTTTGATAGACATAATCCCTAATTTTTATATCAAAAATTGTTCAATTTAGTCTTGTACTAGACAAAGAGATGCCTAAGTTATCTTGCCCTGAATAAAGACTTAACAACAGAAGGACTTAAAATTCTCACCTATGTGATCAACTAGTATGATAATTAAATATAACAATTACATAAAGAGAGATGAATTAGAGGGGTGAGTGTTGACTGAAGGTGCAGTTTAAGAGAAAGGACAAAGCTTTTTTGAGGAAAAGACATGGGGAAAATCAAAGGCATTAATATCTGGTGGATCATGCAATTTTGTGTTTTTTTAAATATTATTATTTTGATTCCTATCATTAAGTAGTGGCACTAAAGGGCCACAATCCCATAGGTCAGGTGGCTTGTGCCATTTTCACGGTGAAGTGATTTAAAGTACTGCTGCCTATGTATTTGCTTTAGAAGCAATTAGTCATGGTGAAATCTTAGTAACAGCAAAATTAAGGAAGACGCTTCTCTAAATTCTGTCCAGAGTAGCAAGTAAAATTAGGAAGGACTGTTGTATCCACATGATAGCCAGAAGTTCATAAAGAATAAAAGCATGTAACAAGAACAATGTCTGGTCAGTGACTGTCAAGAAAGGACTTTTTCTGGTATATGTAATTAATAAAAAAAAAAATGTAGTCTTCTCACACTATGTAGAATCGTTTGTCTCAGTCCTGCTCCACATACATTATACGGTGCTTTACTGACATCGTATCTTTTTGACCTGAAGTTGCACGGTTTGAAAACTTTTTTTTTTTTTTTTGTCGGTCATGAGGCTTGAACTCTGGGCCTGAGCGTTGTTCCTGAGCTCTTCAGCTCAAGGCTCGCACTCTACCACTTGAGCCACAGCACCACTTCCAGTTTTCTGGTGGTTCATTGGAGATAAGAGTTTCATGGACTTTCCTGCCCTGGCTGGCTTTGAACTGCGATACTCAGATCTCAGGCTGAGTTGCTAGGATTACAGGTGTGAGCCATGGGCACCAGCTGAAAACTAACTTAAAGACAACGACTTCAAGACTAGTTTTAGTGTTCAGCCTTCTTAACTGACAATACACACAAAATGCAGGTAGGTCTCATGAATGATTGGTTTAATTAATTCTGAATTTTCATTGGGTCACTCATGAACAGTGCAGGGCTGGGCTGGCCACACCCTGCCCAGAGTAGTGTCTAGGGCAGCAGCACTGGAGGCCAGTCTGGATTAGAGTTATGGAATTCACTGATAAAGAACCTTCAACACCTACTGCAGGCAGCTTACCTGGCTCTGTGTTTGAGCTTCTTATCTAGGATTCCGTCTCTGGAAACAAGTTTATTAAATACCAAGATGCCAATCACCATGTTGACCTGTCAAACAGAAACAGAGTTGTCCTTTCAGTGCCACGTTGCACGCTAGGCCCCGCCCAGCTCCAGAACCTGCTGTTACCCTTCAAACTGCTGCAGAGCCTCAGAGCCATGGACGCAGTGCCCAATACTTTTTAGGTGCTAATATGTGACAGCGATGTGACTCTTCAGCTGGTTATCGTACAACTACAAGTTAATATCCATGGTGTCAATTAACATCAGGGAGATTACCTTTCCACCACCTGTGTGTGTATGTATAAATGTGTCTGTATATGTGCATGTTGCATTGTGTGCATGTTTGTGTATGTCTGCTGCACTATGTGTGCTTGTGCATGTGTGTACCCAAGTGCATAGGCATGTGGTGTGCACATTTGTGTGTATGTGTGTGTTTTACAGTTCTAGGGCTTGAACTCATGGCCTGGGCACTCCTGCTTGCTTTTCTGCTCAAGGCTGGAACTCTATTTTTGAGCCAAAGCTCCACTTCTTGTGTTTTGTTTTTTGTTTTTTACAGTTAACTACTTGGACAAAAGAGTCTCACAGACTTTCCTGCCCAGGCTGCCTTTGAAACATAATCTTCAGATCTCAGCCTCCTGAGTAGCTAGGATCACAGGCATGAGCCACTGGTATGTGGTTTTCATTGCCTGGCGTTTAACTGATACCACACTGTACCATTCTGCCATTCTCTCTGGGTCTGTTGTGAGCAGAATCAATCACTGGTGCGTTTACCCTTTGTATGGGAGCTGTAATAGCCAAAGCTCGGAGCAGGAAAGTGAGCGCCCTGGCAGGCCAGGTGAACGGCACACCCTGTCTCCTGCTGAAGGAGTCCTTCAGTGGACTGTCATGGAGCCAACGCATACAATACCAATATACTCCAAGGAGAACTCTAATGCATTCCATTCTAAACCTCTTCCTCTCACTTAAGGTTCTTTTGCTAACACAGCTGAATGAAACCAGAGGGAAAAATTATAAGGAGCTCATGACAGGGAGTCTCTGGGGAGCCAGAGGTCTCCACGGCTCTCAGCCTGCCATGGACTGACCCCCTCGTTCAGGAGGGCTGGTTTGGCAGGAAGCTGAGATAACCCAGGGCGTGTGGCTTCCTTCTCTCACTGCTCCTGTCCGGCCTTTGTGGACATGGGGCAGAGCTCTGGGGCCCCCACCGCCTCTGCCTGGGCAGGTGCTCAGGCACAGCAATGGTGCCAGGCCATGCATTCTCTTCAGTAGGATAAGGAGGGGTTGCTGCCTATAATTTCTGCAAGTCACCATTCAAGCTGTAATTCCCGATGAGTCACTATTGTCTATAATTTCTTGAAAAAAAATCACTATTTAATCTCTCTCTCTTTCTCTTTTTTGTCGGTCGTGGGGCTTGAACTCTGGGCCTGGGTGCTGTCCCTCAGCTCTTCAGCTCAATGTGAGAGCTCTACCACATGAGCCACAGCACCACTTCCTGCTTGCTTTTTCTGAGTAGCTTATTGGAGGTAAGTGTCTCATGGACTTTCCTGCCTGGGCTGGCTTTGAACCGCAATCCTCATATCTCAGCCTCCTTAGTAGCTAGAATTAAAGGCATGAGCCACCGGCCCTGGCTCTCTTTCTCTTTTCACAGGAATCTAGTGTGTTAGAGAAAGAACACCAGGACTAGGTAAACAGTCAGTAGAGCAGACAAGGCTCTATGGAATAGCTTTGCTTTCCTTTGCTCTTCTCTCTTGTCTGTTTTCTTTCCTTGGGAATCATGGATTATTTCTGTTCCCTGGCAAGCTCTACAGGAAGAGACTCAAGTATCACAGTTATTAGGACAAGGTCACTAGTTTCCCAGTTTTTGAATGAATTGTTTAAGAAGCCAGAAGGTAATTTTCCAACTGGAAATCTAATCATGCAATGATAGGAATCTTTGCAGTTAATTCAGACCAAGCTTTTCCTTCCTCATTTCTTCAGAAGTTGGATAGGCAGGAAGACTTATAATTAATTACTTCAGAGAAGGAGGAGGCAGAGGGAGAAGAAAGAGAGAGAGAGGCAGAGAGAGAGAGAGAAAGGGAAAGCCAGGAACAGGACAAGGGAAGGAAGGGGCAAATGGAAGAGAGGGAAGGAGAGAGACCAGAGGGAGGAAGAGACTCAGAAAGAGAAAGGGAAGGAGAGAATGGCAAATTAATAGGACCATCATTTTAAAATTTAAGGAATTATTTTATAGGTTGGAAAAGAAAGATACTAATTCGTGTGTGCTTCCCATCTGAAGAGCCTGTACACCGTGGAGACTGGATGGGGCACTGGGCAGAGGCTGGGCTGCCCAGCCTGTACTCCACCATGGGGTGGGGGAGGGGGGGGAAGTGGGGAAGTGGGGGGGATGTGAGTGGGTATCTCCTCGTTAATAACCACACACCTAATAACCACACGTCTCCTTACAGAATGGAATAAATGTGGGGCAGGGATATATGTTGTCATTTTATATATTAACCAGGAGGAATTTACTGAAATTGACACAAGATTTCTTCTGAATTCAATGTAGAAAATACTACACTCCCAACATGATTAGTTTTCCGTACTTAAAATATGGATATTTTAGAGCAGAAGATGGAACACAATTGCTATTCAAATTAAATGAATAGTTCGTTGAACTTTAAAAGTGTACACAACAAACACTTTATCGTAGTTGCTGCTCTGAACTAGAGTTGCTTTTCCTTTTTGCACAAGAGCTCAGAGCTTACCAGGACAACGGCAGCCGCGGGTCCCACGAAGGCGTACAGCAGCCCCCCTTCCAGAGACAGCCAGCAGCTGCAAGCGCATCAGACAGAAACTGACAGGAGTTAGTGATGCGCATTAGATCTCAGGAGCACCAGATCACAACTCAGATCGCATAGACACTCGACTGGGGACATTGGCACATTTGGACAAGAAAACAAAGTGCCAGAAAAAAATGGGAAATAAAGCTTTTCCTGAAGCTAGGCCTATGACTCAGGCCTGTTACTCAAGCACCAGAGGATCAAGATGAACCCTCTGGACTCTCATCTCCAACTAGCCAGCAAAAGCCAGAAGTGAAGCTATGGCTTAAGCAGTAGAGTGCCAGCCCTGAGCAGAAAAGCTGAGCAAAAGTAGAGGACTGTGAATTTAAGTCCCAGCACATGCATGTACACCCACACACACCCGCACACCCACACACACCCACACACAATATTAACAAAGCATTATGTGAATGAGAAATGATTCTGTCACTAAAGAACTTATACTATAAAGCAGTGAAAATGACAAATGACTTTTATAGCGAAATCTTGATATTTATCTCCTTTATAAAGATGATTTTATCACGGAAATTCTAACTGTGCTGTTTTATATGGATTTTCTCAAAGATACTTTAAAACAAGAATGTTTGAAGTGGCTTATATATGCCATGAGCCTGTTTTTCCTTGAGGTTGAGATATTGATTTAAAATATGTCACTGCAGTGTATGGATAATCTACATTTGTGTGCTTTTTCGTGTGTATGTGTGTGTGTACACATGTGCATGCGCCAGTACTAGAGCTTGAACTCAGTCCTTGGGCTTTTTCACTTAAGACTGGTGCTCTACTACTTGAGCCACAGCTCTTCTGGCTTTTTGCTGGTTAGTGATAAGAGTCCCATGAACTTTCCTACCCAGGATGGCTTTTGAACTACAGTCCTCAGATCTCAGCCTCCTGAGTAGCTAGGATTATAGGCATGCCATAGTAGCATCTAGTGCTTTTTAACTCCTCAGCTTGCTGTTTAGACTTGGAGGAAAGCTTTGAATGAAAACCAGTATAGCTGTTTGTGTCAAGGAGTTAATCACAGAGAAAAGTAGGTTGGCATGGCTGGAGATCTGATAGTTCCTTTGGTTAACGCGATTTTTCTTTTGCAGTTAGAGGAAAAGGAAGAGGCCCAGTCCAGGACAGGGGCTCAGCTGTGGGGACCGGCCCAATGCAGTCCAGCAAAGAGAGTTTGGGGGAGCACAAGAGATGGTTTTGTTTTCTTTCCAAGCTCAGAGCCTCATGCCACCTGTTGGGCCCTGGCCCCTCTCTAAGCTGCTGTCCAAAGTCCTGGCAGCAACAGAGACCTCAGGCTTGTCTAACAGGAAGATGCCCTGCTCTCTGGGGACACAGACACTACTTGACTCCCTTACGCACACAGTGAAGAGGGCAAGCAGTTCTCTGTGGAAATTAGACAATAAGAATTTCAATCTAGTGTGCATGTTCCACATGTGCATACTTATAAATTCGTTCACAAATATGTGTGCATTCTGCATTTTGGTACTGCCTTTGCCAAAGCAACAGACTGATAAAAACGGGTTCTCCTACTTTGGGCGAGACAACTGAATATTTTTTAAACAAAACTCAGAGAAAAAGATCTTGGTCTGCCAGAAATTCTAATTTGTTGGCTCTGATGTCACTAAAATTTCTCCTGCATTTTCTTTTTCATGCCTATGTATGTGTTGGTAATGGGACTTGAACTCAGCTTGGCTTTTTCACCCAAGGCTGGTGCTCTACTACATGAGCCACACCTCTACTTTTGGCTTTGGGGTGAGTAATTGGAGATAAGAGTCTCATGGCCATTTCTGCCCGGGATGGCTTTAAACTGCCATCCTTGGATCTCAGTCTCCTTGAGTGGCAAGGATTGTGGGTGGGAGTCACACATGCTCAGCTCTATTGTGTTTTGTGCAAACCTAATTTTCAAGCTGAGCTTGTTTCTCGCTTTAAAAAAATTGTTATTGTAAAGGTGATGTACAGAAGAGTTGCAGTAATAAGCCAGTCATAAGGACATTTCTTTTTTTTTTTCTTGGTCAGTCCTGGGGCTTGAACTCTGGGCTTGGGTGCTGTCCCTGTGCTCTTCAGCTCAAGGTGAGCACTCTACCACTTGAGCCACAGCGCCACTTCCAGTTTTCTATTGGTTTATTGGAGATAAGAGTCTCATGGACTTTCCTGCCGGGGCTGGCTTTGAACTGGGATCCTCAGATCTCAGCCTCGTGGGTAGTTATAGATGTGAGCCACTGGTGCCCGGTGAGAACATTTCTTTTTGAACAGTGTCACCTCTTCCCTCAGTTTCTCCCAGTTTTTCCCTCCCAACCCTCTCCCCCATAAAGGTTGCACAGTGTATTCTCTTTGAGATTTGCTAGCAGATTTAGTATACCTTTTGAGCTACTTTTCCCCAAGGTGGCTTGTCTATTATGATGGAAATTTATAAAGTCAATTCATAACGCAATGCATTGTATTTGCCATTAATTGTACACTCCTTGAAACCAAGAATCTTAGCCCCTATAATTTTACTCCTTTCCACAATCCCAATCAATTTTTATTCTTACTTATTATTTAATTAACTGCATCAAGCTTTGGATATTTTAGGTATTAGAAGGTGAATTCAATTTTCAAATATATTGGCCTTTCATCGACATTGTCTTTTAAATACTGGACTTACACAGTATTTAAGTAATAACTTAAAAAGCAACAGTATACCGTAAGACCATTCTGCAATGTATGTTTGCAGAATTTTTTCACAAATGCAAGCTGCAATAAGACCTGGGTGTGGTAACACAAGTCCCTCTTCTCAGCCCTGGGGGAGGGTGAGGCTGGCAGAGAGGAGGTGAGGCTTAAGATCCTATCCACAGAGCTCAGTGGCAGAGTGCTGGAATCGCATGCTTGAGGCGCTGGGTTCAATTCTTCGGCACTACATAAGCAAAAAAAGCCGAAGTGGCCCTGTGGCTCAAGAGGTAGAGCACTAGCCTTGAGCTGAAGAGCTGAAGGACAACGCCCAGGCCCAGAGTTCGGGCCCCACGACTGACCAAAAAAAAAAAAAAGATCCTATCCACAATAAAATAGAGACACAGACACAGAGATAAAACCAATGGTGTGGCGCATGCTGGATGGGGTGGGGCCAGTGTGACAGGGGCTGGTGGGTGGGGCCAGGCCAGTGTGGGGGCGGAGCCACGGCCTGGCGAGTGTGGGACAGGGCAGTCTGGGGCGGGGCCAGTGCAGCTGGATGGGGCGGGTGGGGCGGGGCCAGAGCAGGGCAGAGCCAGTATGGAATGGGGGGGGGAGTGTGGGACAAGGCGGGACATCCGGCTGGCCCCTGGGCGGATCTCTGGGCCCCCCACGCGCACGCACGGCCGCCGGGGACTTACTAGTGGTCGGTGCCATATCCCTTCGTCCTGGTGAAGCCAACCGACGTGGCCACCACCAGCGCCGGCAGTCCTGCAGGAAGAGAGGCGGGTCGGTGCGGGGCCGTGGCACCCCCGAGGCGGGCGCTCCTCCGCCTGCGCCACGCCGCCCCTGCGGCCTTTGGCTGGTTGTCTGGGGCTCCCGCGTCAGGCCACAGCGCGCAGGTCTCCGCCCCGGGCCGGCTCCGGACACGCACTGGCGTGAGTCACTCCTCGTTCAAGCCGGACTTGGTGACAGGAGACGACCCTCGTCCGAGGGTTCAGGCTTGAGCACGTCTGCCTGCCGGGGCCCCGCACCCCCGCGCCTGGACTGGGCTGCCCCCCCCCCCGGCTGCCGACGCACGCACGCACGCACGCACGCCCGCGGAGACCCCTGGTGAAGCGCGTTCTCCGCACGCTTTCCTTCGTGCTGTGTAAGTGCACGCCGTCTCAGAAGCCTTCACGTTAGACTCCGCTCCGCCGCCGCCCTGCTGCTGCCGGGCTAGGGAAGGCCGCCCCCGCCTGTGCCGGGCGCGCGCGCGGCCTTTCAGCATAGTGGAAGCGCTGGCCACCCGCACGCACATGCGCCCTGCTCTCCCCCCCCCCCCCCCCCACCTTCTGAGGTGGCCTGCACGTGTTGGTCGTGTACTTCGGTCTAAAGCACGTGGGCCGTTCCCTGCCGGAGCCGTCTACACAGGTCGGCGGGGTTCCTCCAGCGCATGGGGGGAGCTCTGCGCACGTGGTCGGTGTCCTCTCTCCATGCTTCCCACCCGTCCCCATCCCCCGCCATTTCCCGGCTCCACACACACACAGATGTCACAGCTCCACACACACACACACACACTCAGACATCAGCTCCACACACAGACATCACAGCTCTGCTCCACACACACACTCAGATGTCACAGCTCCACACACTCAGACGTCACAGCTCCACTCACACACACTCAGACGTCACAGCTCCGCTCACACACACTCAGACGTCACAGCTCCACACACACACTCAGACGTCACAGCTCCACACACACTCAGACATCACAGCTCCACACACACACTCAGACGTCACAGCTCCACACACACTCAGACGTCACAGCTCCACACACACTCAGACATCACAGCTCCACACACACACTCAGACGTCACAGCTCCACACACACACTCAGACGTCACAGCTCCACTCACATACACTCAGATGTCACAGCTCCACACACACTCAGACGTCACAGCTCCACACACACTCTCAGACATCACAGCTCCGCTCCACCCACGCACTCAGACGTCACAGCTCCGCTCCACCCACGCACTCAGACGTCACAGCTCTACACACACACACACACACACTCAGACATCACAGCTGCGCTCTCCACTCCACACAGGACCCCAAGCCAGTTCTGGGCTTTGTCTGACACAGATCTTCATGAACGACCTCACTAGGTTGACCTCGCACAATGCCTAGACCTTTGAGAGCCATGTCTTCATGACATGAATCTTTCCCCGTAAGGCAGGCAACGAATTAACTGATTTTAGGCCTCGCAAAAGTTCTATTTCCGTTTTGAGCAGCCTACTGCCCTCAGCGAAGTGTCATTTAGTCTCTGAATGGCTTTCTCCCTGTGACACCAACAGCCTCTGCATTCATTGTGTTTAACAGAATACATGACGTTTTCGTGGGTGAGTCTTCTTCCTGGGGTTCTGATTGTTTCCAGACTTGGGTTCTCTGCCCTTGGAAGCCTCAGGCCATCTCACACCATGGGGCACTATGGGGCACTTTGGTGAGTCTGGCCAGAGCTGAGCTCTAACTCCTCTGTACAGCTTCAAACAGCCCATGAATCATGACCCAGCCCTTTTCTTCATATATCACCCCCCCATATATATATATATACACACACACACACACACACACACATATGTATGCTATATTTAGTGTGTGTGTAAGTAGGGGAACAGGTAGATATAGATGATGATGATGGATGATAAATAGTGGATGATAGAATTATGTCTTCATATATAGATAGGCAGACAACTAGATGACAGAGATAGACAATAGACAGATAGACAAATCTATCTTTACATATCATATGGATAGATGCAAGGGTAGATAGAAAGGTAGATGATAGATAGATGACAGATAAGTAGATTTATGGATAATAGATATTTATCATTTCACAGGTTAGACACAAAGTGGCCTGGGGTTAACTGCTGCCCTTTGGTTAACATGAGGTCAAGGTAATTTTATGGAGCACAAGGTGCGGACATACTCACCCCAGCCAAGGCACAGGAAACGTTTCCTTATCAGCCGTGTCCTGATCTTCCCAGTTACAGCCATGTACGACTGCCAGGCCTCGGTCAGGACCCAGCAGAAGGAGGCCAGAAAGAAGAAGTGGAGGAATGCCGTGGTGGTTGTGCAGATGCTCTGTGGGGGGAAAGAAGACTTATCATGCCAGGCCCAGGCAGGACTGCAAGGGCTCCTCCCAGAGTGTACCTCGCCTCGTCTCTCCTCTCCCTCTTTCTTTTTGTGCCAGAGCAGCTTGAACTTAGGCTTGAGCTCTCGTTGGGCTTTTTTCCTCATGGTTGGTGTCTACCACTTGAGTCACCTCCCACTTCCACATCTCTGCTAGTTAATTGGAGATAAGAATCTCACAGACAGCCGGGCGCTGGTGGCTCACGCCTGTAATCCTAGCTACTCAGGAGGCTGAGATCTGAGGATCGCGGTTCAAAGCCAGACCGGGCAGGAGAGACCGTGAGTCTCCTATCTCCAATAAAACCACCAGAAAACCGGAAGTGGCGCTGTAGCTCAAGTGGTAGAGTGCTTGCCTTGAGCTGAAGAGCTGAGGGACAGCGCCCAAGCCCAGAGTTCAAGCCCCACGACCGACCAAAAAAAAAAAAAGAATCTCACAGACTTCTCTTCCCAGGCTGGCTTTCAACCCCAGTCCTGAGATGTCAGCCTCCTGAGTAGTAGCTAGAATTACAGCCATGAGCTATCAGCATTCACCTAAGCAGGTTCATTTCTAACTCTATTTTTTTTTTTTATTGTAAAGATACTATACGGAGGGTTACAGTTACATGAGTAAGGTAATGAGTACACTTCCTATTGAGCATTGTTACCCCCTCCATTGTTTTCCCCCTACCATCCCTTCCCTCCCTACCTTCCCTGGGGTTCTTTTTTTTTTTTTTTTTGATTGTGATTAAATGATTACATAATTTCCCGAATTTCACAGTATTGTGGAATAATGATGCTTATTTAAAGTCACAAGTTCATTCTAACTTTCCTGGAGCAAATTGTCTATCACAGTCTATAACATATAACAGTGTACACATGTTATACACCATACATGTGATCAGCAGCATGGGGATATTTAGTAGTGGTTCGACCAGATCTATTTTTATTTCAAATATCTACCTCTCTCCAGTACTAGAGTTCTTATTTCCAAGAATGAGGAACCCTGCAGTCTTGATACTGTATGTAATGGTACCACAGGTAAAAATATATGTCTCAGTTTCTCATTTCTTTTATGAGGAGAGCGTGGGATTAAAATTTAAGCACAAGCAATATTGAAATTACTGCTTTACTGGAAGGTTTTTCTTGAAACCCACATATGGATAGTCGCGTCCTCAGATTAGTTTAAGTCCTTGTCTGTGCTTTCTACCCTCAAAGCCTCTTGGTTGTTTCAACCAGGTTGATGTTAAGATTCCATCTGGAAATGCAATAGTCTTTCAAAATAAAAATTACTCTGCTTTTATATGTGGGCAATATTTAAGACATAACAGCAATTTACAAAATGAGGTTTGGCTAATAGCCTAGAATAGAAATAAAAAGTATCTTTGAGTATTTAATTCCATGCTTTGATGTTATCACATTGCATCCTGTGTCCTAATCAAGTAATTTGAAAAGCCTGTCGAGTCTCGCTGCCAGTACACACCATGAATTCACAGGTATTTTCCCTCTTGTGACTTCATCATCCTAAACATGCTGAGGATTAGCTGTGCTCTGCTCTCCAGGGTCCGGCAGCCCCTGTGGAAAAGGCTAGCACGGATGTCACTCTTGGTATAATTCCTGCCTGTGGATCTTAGTTGAATGAGCATCTCTGTTAACTAGAATTAGTAACATAACCGTCTCCACCACTCTCTGTGGGTCATGTTCCTTCCAGACACTGAAAGCAGACAGAGGAAGGGGTGTGAATGCACACATGGGAAACTGGAAGTGGGCCCGGGAGGTATGGGGAAGGATGGAAACGGTGTGGGTCAGCATGCATGCTACTCAGAAACTGACCTGCTAAAATGAAGCCCCTTTGTACTACTTCAATATCATAAATAAAATTAAATCAAGAAAAGAAAATTGGATTTTCTTTGAGGTTTTCCCAATTGAATTAAAAATCGTCAAAGAGAGTAGAATTACAAAAGTTATTAAAAACTCAAATTAATGAAATTATTCGCACCTCCATCCCAATTCAATGCTGAAGTAGAATTCTGTTTGAATTTTTACTTTGGGGGCTACAGGACTTATATTATCAAAGTTCACCAGATGTTGATTAGCTTTCCAGTTCTTTTAATCCAACAGGAAGAGCATCACGTGACCTTGGAGCCGTTTCCCTGGTGACAGGCAACGTGGAGCACCCAGCTCAGACACAGTAAATATGGTCACAGGCAGCAGAAATCGTTTCCTGACTTCTTATTATTTACTTAGTACTTAAGTTTATGCTTACAGAAATGAGAACCAACTGTCGGTGTGCTGAAGTCATGGGTCTCTTACAGACTCTTTCTCACACCTTTCCTGCTGGCTCTCAGCACTGCAATAGCTCCCCTCCCCTCTCTCCTTTTACCCTGTCTTCTCTCCTCTCCTTTCCTCTCCCCTTCCCTACTCTTCCCTCTCCTCTTCCTTTTCCTCCCTTCTCCTCTCCTTCCCTATCTGCCTGTGTTTTCCTCTCCTTCCCTCTTTCCCCCTTTCCTCCTGTCTTCATACTGGAGCTTGAATTTAGGGCCTTATGCTCTTCTTAAGATTTTTTCTTTTTCATTTAAGGTTGAAGCTTTACCAGTTGAGCCATAGTTCTACTTCTTGTTGTGGGCTGATTAATTACAGGTAGGGTCTCAGGGATTCTTTTTCTGTCCTGGCTGGAAGTGTCTGAATAGCTGGGAATACAGGTGTGAGCCACAGGTGCCTGGCTTAGGATTCTTCTTTAATCTGAGTCATTAGGACTAATTTTTCCCCATAGGAAGATTTAAGTCACTTGCAGGCTATTTTTCTCCTTTTTCATGCTAATCTGAACTTGACAATCTTCATAAGTCACTTTCTGAAGACAAGTTACACATTTTAATTCACATTTCATTTCCTTCCACCGGTATCTTATCTAATTTGCAGGTACTAGCAAAGCTGATCTTCTATTTTTAAATGATCAATAAAGAGATACAGCTCAGTGTGTGAGTGGGGAAATGTTACACCCTAAACATGAGACCACACAAGAGGTGATGGAGGACTGTATCTCCTAGTAAACTGACTTTTCTCTCTCTGTTTTCCTTTCAGGACTCACAGGCTCTCACTTTGGTACGAATCTCAACAGAATGAGATGTGATCTGGAGTGGCTGACGCTTGTTTCTATACTTCATGTCTCTTTGCCCTGCACAGTCACAGCAAAACTGAGGGTGCTGCTGTGAGTGTGGAAGAATGGTCTGTATCCTATCCACAGGCAATGATGGCACAATGCAGTGTGTCCTCCTGTGTGCCGAGCATGCTCCACGTTGGGTGTGAACTGTCCTGGTCAAAGGGGTGTGTACACACATGCAGTGATATGTGCACAGTGTAGTGATGTATGCCCGCAGTGCAGTGATGTGTGCATGGTGCAGTGGTGTGTGCATGCGGTGCTGTTGTGTGTGCATGCGGTACAGCTGTGTGTGCACACAGTGCGGTGGTTATGTGCATGGTACAATGGTGTGTGCACACAGTGTGATGGTGTGTGCATGTAGTGTGGTTGTGTTCATGGTGTGGTGGTGTGCACGTGGTGCAGTGGTGTGTGCATGGTGTGGGGGTGTGTTCATGGTGCAGTGGTGCGTGTACACAGTGCAGTCGTGTGTGCATTGTGCGGCAGTGTGTATATGCGGAGAGGCAGTGTGTGCATGGTGCAGTGATGTACGCACAGCGTAGTGGTGTGTGCATGCAGTACAGGTGTGTGCATGTGATGTAGTGGTGTGCATGCAGTGTGGCGGTGTGTGCAGGTGAAGTCATAAAGGCTTACAGGGGCAGTACAGCACTCTCATGACCTGCAGATCACATAGCTTGGATACACTCTCATGTGAAGAAATGGTACAAAATCACACACTTGACGTGGTAAAACACACCTTGGTCACTTTGATCCCCGAGATGCAAGACTGGTCAATATATGTAAGTCAATAAATGCAACACGCAGCATTAGCAGAGCCAATGACAAGAATCACACGAGCATCTCAATAGATACAGAAAAAGCCTTCAAAAAATTCAGTGTCAGTTTATGATTAAAGCTCTGGAGAAGCTAGACTGGAAGGGACATTCCTCAACATAATAAAGGCTATGTACAAAAGACTTACAGCCAACATCATGCTAAATGCTGAAAAACTAAAACCATTTCCTCTAAAATCAACAAGACAAAGATGGCCACTCTCTCCCCTCCTTTTTGATGTAACATTGGAATTCAAAGTGAGAGCAACAAGGAAAGAGAAAGACATAAAAGAGATCCAGAGAGGGAAAAATAAAGTCAAACTTCCCCTACATTCAGATGACACAATCCTGTTCCCAAAGGCCCAAGGACTCCGCCCCCATGCTCTAGAAGGGATCAATAACTAGCAAAGAAGAATACAAAGTTAACTCACAAAAAATCAGTAATTTTTCTGTATACCAACAGTGTATACATTGTATACATACACAGACAGGGAAATCAGGAAAACGACTCTGCAATAGCCTAAAAAGAAGTATATAGGGGGCTGGGAAGGTAGCTCAGTGGTAGAGTGCTCGCCTTGCATGCAGGAGGCCCTGGGTTCGATTCCTCAGCACCACATAAGCAGAAAAAGCTGGAAATGGTGCTGTGGCTCAAGTGGTAGAGCGCTAGCCTTTATCTGAAGAGCTGAGGGACAGTGCCCAGGCCCAGAGTTCAAGCCCCAGGATGGGCAAAAAAAAAGATGTAGGAACAAACATAACCAAGGAAGCAAAAGACCTCTATAGAGAAAACTATTAAAAGAAAGAAACTGAAAAAAACATCAGAAACTGTAAAGACCTCCCTTGCTGATGGATTGGCAGAATTAATATCATGAAAATGGCCATACTGTCAAAAACAATCTGCAAATATAACACAGTCCCCATCGAAATCCCAACGGCCTTCTTCACTAGGATAGAGAAAAACATCCTGGTTGGGAGATCCTGTGCTAATCAAAGTTACAGTTCTTCATCTC